AATCAGCCATAGGCAATACTGTAATGAATGCACATTCTGTTCCAAGATAACTTTATTTGAGAAGAGGCGGCAGGCCAAATCTGCCCAATGGGCTATACACAGGCCCCTGCTTGTTACCATCTGTGCCTTTGAGTATAATATGTGCATACTAAAATAGTTCTTTAGGACTGGGGTTAGCTACAACTAAACATCCTCCTAAGACCTGGACAACTCCAAGGAAGAGGCCTGGGGTGGTAGAGGGACAAAATTGAGACTAAGTTGGGCCAGACCCCTGTGGCAAGGCCTGGGGGCAAATGGGACCAGTGTGGTGTACCTTTAGCACAATGCCTGGCACACAGTTGGGACTTTAATTTCTGAACAGATAACTGTTTAATTAGTTGGCTGATTTCTGGGACTGTCTCATAATATACTCTGGGTCTCCAGGTGCATTCACCAGCTTTCCTATCCCAGCCCAGAATCAACCTTCTTTGACAGATGTCCAGATAGTAGCAATTATCTGAGGACCATGCCTCTGATCAATTAAAATACTACCTCATCAACCCAAACTACTCGGGGGACCAATGTGTCCCAAACATGTACTGTATTCCCTGGTTACCCACCCCCAGCAATCCTTTCCTATAACAAGTCTTCCCCAGCCCCTTGAGCCAGTGGCGTCCAGGAAATCAATGACCGTATGAAACAGATGGTTTCTCCAGTAGGGGGGCAGTTTGGCCTACATCTGAGCATCTTAGATCTTGTTCTTGTTGCCCCCACTGGTCAGTCCTGTCAAAACTTCCTTCTAGGCACCTATGCCGGGTTGTCAGCTGAGCAGATAGGGCCATGGAATAGAAGGAGAAGGCACCTCACAATTTCCTATGACTCCTCTATCACCTCTGTCTACAAAGGAGCCTAAGGGCTGGTGAGGCAGCAAATTTCCTGCTCTGCCAATAGTTCCTGCCTTTCCTATCTGCCATGACTCACCATCTGTGACTTGATATGTTCTACAGACATGAGCATGTTGTACACATTAATGCATGTTTCCTCCATTAGGAAGTTTCCCAGATTGAGGGCAAAATTGAAAACTGGATTGAATCATCCAGATAGACCTCAGCATCCATAGGTCTAGAGGAGGTTTAGGGCATTTTCTTCCCTTAAGGGTCCACTCCTGTTCTAAAGAGCAGCAGGATTTATTGATCTAATGAGGGCCCAGGATGTGCTAGAAGACCTTGCTGTCTGTAGTGGATGACTGCCGTCTCCCTGACCAGCTGTGCGTGCATGCTGTCCTGGCCTAAGTCTCCCTTTCTCCTTCTGCTTCCACATGGGAAAAGGCTGAGGGCTGCAGCTCCCTGCTCACCTGGAACTCCTCTGGTTGCCAAAGGGTGGGATGGAGACTCTGAGACAACCTGATGGATCATCTCATAAACAGAGCCCGCAGGAAGGAAAAGAAAATTATGCCAGCAGAATGCACTTATGAGAAATAGATACGTGTGGTGCAGGGAGAAATGCTTTGATATTAAAATTTTTTGTAACTTAAAAAGGCATGAAAAATGATACCGACCACTAACTAATCAACATTCCTTTGCGAATGCAGCTTCAGTTCCTAACCAAAAACACATCTCTGCTATTGTCTTGTCTAGATCCAGATGCAAACATGATTAATTAAGTTTCAGTAGAGGAGGGGGATGGTCGAGATGGATGGCTTGCTGAGGATACTTTCTATACACAGGCCTGGGGAGAATCCCTAAGGCTGGTTGCCTATTTTCCTCCACAGAGCAGGGCCTGCCTCCTGTGCAGTGACAGCCACAGAGTGGGCTACACCGAGGCCCATGGGTGAGGCAATGAGAGGCCTAAGGAGAGCTCTTGGAACCTCCTGTTGCCTCACCCAGCACAGCATGGCACAGTATCAGAAGCACACCTGGTATCCTACCGGGAGACCTGGGCTCTGCTCCCTACTCTGCTACCATGAAGTTTGGGATAGGGGGCCAACTGCCTCCTTTCTGCAGGTGTAAAATGAAAGGTTAGATTAAATGCTACTCAAAGTCTCTTCTATTTCTGGCTTTATATTCTGGTGACCAAGGTTCTTCACACATAGCAGGTGTCTCTCAACTGATTGCCTGGTATGGTGACCAAGGTTCTTCACACATAGCAGGTGTTTCACAACTGATTGCCATACCAGGCAATCAGTTGTCACCTCAGGGCAGAGGAGCCTGGTAATGGTGGGTGGAGGGTGTGCTAGTTAAGGATCTCTACTGCAGGTGGCTGAACTGCAGCACTCGGCCCAGCATCGCAGAGGCCAGCAGACTAGCTTCCTGACCTCAGCTCCATCGAAGTCAGTCTAGCAACTGTGAGTGAGACACCAACTGCTCTGTGCCTCAGTGCCCCCCTGGAGAACAGAAACGCCAGGTCAACTCATCCTGGGGTGTCAGGAAACTAGTTACCTCAGTTTCTCTGTTCTCACACTGGAGGGTCAGAGGGACAGTGGGCCAGTTTAGAGTAATATCTGCTGTAGGAATCTGCTCTGCTAGTAGGAGGCGTAGGTCCTGTAATGGGGGGGCAGGATTGGAGTCAGACTGTCTGCATTGAATTATAAACCTCCTTTGGGCCTCATAGGCCTCATCTGTAAAACAGGAGTAATAATCGTAGAGCAAATCTCATATTACTGAAGATTAAATAGGGTAAAATATATAAGATGCATATATGATCACGCCTAGCACATTGAGCAAGTGCCAGAGAGTTGGTGTTGTGACTACACCCGCCTTTCAAGCACTGGATGTACACCAAATGTCCCCTTAGTGTGCAAAGTTCATGTCTTCTCATAGAAGAGAGTAAGAGGAGCTCCCCAAAACTTCCACTGCCCTGACCAAGCACATCTACTCATTCAGCAAATACCACTGAGTACACACACTGCACAAGGCCCTAGCTAGCTTTGGGGAGACAAGGTTGCATGGATCTTCTAGCCAGTCTGAGACTAGGACTCACCAGTAGAGCACGCAGTGGGTGGTATCCCTGCATGGTGGGCAGGAGCAGGCTTGTGCATGGGTGAAAGACTTTTATAAGGCCTGCTGGACTGGAGGATAGTGCTGGTGCCAGGTGTAACACCAAACGCTTCCCATCAGATGTTAAGGCCCTAGTGTGGGGATGTGAGCCAAGACTAGGGCTTAGCGAACTATTTTATTGGGAGATTTACTACCTCCTTCTAAAGCAAATGGATTCCACTGGTATTTAACCTCTCTTTTTGTCAGTTGTGAATGGCTGACTTTTTAGATCGTTAGTCACATCCCTCAAGCATTAGAACATGATGTGTCTGGTTTCAGTTCTACGATTCTTTTCAATTCCAGAGAAAAGAAGATGGCTTTACATGAATATGATTTTGTCCCTGGGAGCATCTATAAAATAGGCAGCCTTCTCTTACCTAGCTGGGAAATCACTTTAAAATATCATCTCTAGTCTGTCTTCATGTTTTCGATGGGGAGTTTGTTATCCCCATTTCCCAGATGGAGTAACTGAGAATAGAGTCAGAAGACAGCTTGCTCAGAGACCAAGAATCACAGAATAATTTTGTGGAGAGGCCAAGAATAAGTTTTTACTTTCTGCCTCACAGTTCATTTCAACCCAAGAATGACCTGAGCAATGTTTGAAACATGAATTTATGAAATGGAGAATTGAGATTGCAACTCCTGGACCATGTCCAGGACATTCAAATGAATGTGCTGCTGTTGGGAAGCACGTTCTAAGAATTATTTACTGTTCCAAAAGTAATTTAAGGTAAAGCAGATTTTCCATGGATACTCCAGGCTAACCCCAGTCCCATGTTCAGTGACTTTCAATTTAATGTCAACAAAGATTTAATCCCTAAAATATATGGGATACTTCTCTACTGGATACTTTAAAAGAGAACCAAGATTAGAAGGCATTTCCCTTGGAAGAATAACATGAGGATGGATACAGACATGACAGCTCGACTCCTGGCCGAAATGGAGTAAGCCCCAGTCCCTTACTCCACACTCATGCTCTGGCTGGCCTATCAGGAAGTCTAGTACCACAGTGCCACTTCAGCAGCTGCCAGGCCTTCTCTCCTCATTCATCTCCTCCCCAGCTTCGAACTCCTAATTCAGCTCTGCTTCTCCTATCATAGGAATGGCCTTGGAGTCTGTGCTTTGATTTTCCTCCCTTCTTTTTATTTTTTGTAGAGAGAGATTTTTGTTATAGTGCACATACACTTGACGGAGAGAGAGACAGACAGACAGAAAGTAAGAAATCACCCCCACCCCCACAGGAGAGTGGCTATGCCGAAATCCCTTCTCCGTTCTCCTCTTGGGATTTTGAGCACGCACGCACATGTGCTCAGCGTGAGTTTTAAGCCACTGTGTCTGGAACTTGAGCAGTCGACTCCGTGGGAGTCAAGTGACGTAACCATTATGGTATCTGCTGGTCCTAGTTTCCCATTTTTTGTTCTCCAGACCTCAGGTTAGGACTCATCCCTCTAGTATATCTTCTCCTCCCCACTCCCATGAATATTTGCTTTAATTTCCTCCCTCACAATCCTAGATCCAGCACTGAGCTGCCTACCTAAGTCCCCAGAACTGGGGCATGGGACATGGGGTCATGGATGAGAGGAAAGAAACTTCCAGGCTCTGCACTGGGGTACAGAATCCTAATGTGTGGGCACCTCCTGCTTTGACTCAGAGAGCCTTATAGAAGAACTGACTGGAGGCCTCAAACTCCTCTCCTGTTTATCTCCTTGCCTCAAGATACTGCTAGTTCCTGAAGCACTCCTGAGCCTCTGATCTCCCCTGAGAGCAGCTCTACACCCAGCCCAAGTTGGTGTCTGCACAGGCTCTGAGCCTCCCCGATCTTGGGGGAGTCGCGCTCTCCCCCAACAACTGCATGCTCTGAGGTAGGATCTTAATGTCTCTTGGGCTCTGTTTTCCTTTGGGTAAGTTAAGGATATCTTGCTTACATGAGTGTGTGGGACTCAAGCAGTGTGCTAAGAATTTCCCCACGCTCCCTTGAATACTCACGGCAACCCTGTGTGGTGGGCAGATTTCCAGTCATATGGATGAAAAAGCAAGTGGCTCAGGGAGGTCATGCAGAAACCCAAGTCATGCAGCAATTAGTGACTAAGTGACAACAGAAAGCCTAGAGTGAAAATCCAGATTGGTTTGACTCCGGAGCCAAAATTCTGTGGACGAAGGTCAGAGAAAGAGAGCACTACTAGGGAAGTCTCCAGTCTTAAAGCAGAGTACAGCAAGCTTTTTCTGAAAAGGGCCTGTAACAAAGATATTTTAGTCTTTGCAAGCCATAAAAGGTCTTTGTCACATTTTCTATTTGTTATCATTGTGCTTCATTTTTGTTTTACCTACATTTTGAACTTGTAAAAGTGGGATGGATGGTAGCACTACCGTAAAACGTAATGTTCTTCAAGGTTGACCCACATAAGAAGTTTCCAGGTTCACATTCACAAGACCTACCTGAATACATAAGGCATACACATGCCCATGACCTGGGACTGGCTGAAGCTGGGAGCGGATGAAAGCCCTGTTGGGATCTCTCTCTCTCTCTCACAATAAATAAGTAAATTAACTAATTAATAATCTTTTAAAAATTCAATAATTTTTCTTAAGTGTAAAAACAGGTCCTAACCTGGTCATTTCTGGTATAGAGGAATGAACATATGATTTGAACTTAAAAATGAACTCACAATCAGGCTGAGATATTGGAATATTAATTACAAGTCTTAACAACACAGGCTATTTATCAATAGCTGACAGGTGTTGGCAACTAATATCCATTTCTGAAATATTGAGATTTTTTTTAAACCTTGCAATAAGAATACAATTGGCATACGTCCTTAACAAAAGTGTAGTTTTGTTCTTTTAAAAATTCATTTATGAAGACTTTCAAATATGCTGATGAATGTTATGAATAATAATGTAGAAAGTTGATCTATTTCAACTTTTAATAAATAATAGGTATAACTTCGTAAACTATATGTGTATGTATATATTACATGTTACCTAAATTCTTTTTATATTTAGGCTATATAGCATAATACAATTTTGTTTTTCTGTCAGAGGCATGTTGTGAGGGCATGTGGTACATGAACTTGAGGGAGAGAGGGAAGCACTCACCTCCAAACCCCAGTGGGGCTTGGTCACACTGCAATCCCTTTTCTTCTAATTCTCTATCCTTTCAGGATTCTGGGCATATGAATGCTTGGCATATTTTCCAAGCTAGTGGGGCTGGGACTTGAACACTGGTCAGTCCTGTGGGATCCAGCTTCTTCTGCACAGCGCTTGAATACTGTGCTATGGGTAAAGCCCATAATACATTTTCTAATTTTTTATTATTTACTATACATTTAATTGCTATACATCATTTAGATTGTAAAGGGACTTTACCCAGCATGATATACACCTCAGCCCAGTTGAGAACATTATATACATCATCATCAATAGGTCATAAACCATATCTGTGTCCCACAAATGTCTTACCTTTCTATTTTTTCCCCAAATTTCCTTTCCTACACTTTTCCCCTCTCCCACTCTCTGTCCACTTTGTCCCTACTGTCCATAACAATTTTCAGTGCTTTTATGTCTTCTAGTCTTTCAGTCTCTACCTTAGAGTGTGGACAGTTGGTATATGTTAAGTGAAGACACACAATATCTCTCTTTGATAGCCTGACATGCTTCACTCAGCAATAAATCTTCCATATTTGTCCACTTTCTATCAAATTCCAGGGCCTTGTTGTTTTTCTATGGCTGAATAGTATTCCGTGGAGTATATATGCTACACTTTCTCAATCCATATGTCTGTTTGTGAGCATTTGTGTTGGTCCCATGTCTTAGCAATCATGAATAATGCTGCAATAAATATCGATGTGCAAGCACTTTTTCCAACTGAGCATTCTCCTGTCCTTTGGGTAGATACCCAGGAGTGGAACTGCTGGATCACATTGTAGTTCTATTTGAAGCTCTTTGAGGAACCTCCTTATTGTTCTCCACAGTGGTTGGATCAATTTACATTCCCACCAGCAGTGTAGGAGAGTTCCCCTTTCACTACATCCCCGCCAGCACTTACCATTTTGTTTTGTTTTGTTTTGTTTTGTTTTTGATCCTTACCATTCTGACTAGAGTTAGGCGGTATCTCATTGTAGTTTTGGTCTGTATCTCCCTTATGATGAGGGATGTTGAGCATTTTTTTCATATGATTTTTGGCTGTCCATATGTCTTCCTTAGAGAGTTGTTTATTCAGCTAATTTTCCCATCTTTTAATTGGGTTAATCATTTTCTTCCAGGTAAGCTGCTTGAGTTCCCTGTGTATTCTGGTTATCAGTCCCTTGTTGATCCATAATACATTTTTTAGAGGTAAACATTAAAAGTGGTCTTCTTAGGGACCAGCAGATGGCATAATGGTTCCACCCCTGGACTCCCAAGTAATCAGTCATAGTTTGAGTCCCAGACCCAGTAGTCTAAAACTCACACTGGGCACATATGTATGCATGCCCAAAATCCCAAGAGGAGAATGGAGAAGAAGGGATTGTGGTGTGGCCACAATCCCTTCTTCTTGCTTTCTGTCTGTCTTTCTCTAGAGAATGCATGTGCCCAATAGCAAAATCTCTCTCCACCCCCCCAAAAAAAAAAAAAAAAAAAGTCTTCATAGACCCAACATCCTCAGAACCAGGGTTAACAATCTATATTATTGTGCAGGTTCCTCAGCAAAAATAGGAAACCATCGTTGTTATGCCTCCTAAGTAAGGATTCCTCAGTCACCTGGGAAGATGGCATCTTAGAAAATCGGGGAAAGAGAGATGACAAATTCCTCCTTCTTTTTAAATCTAAAATTGATCTTGGGTCCCTATCCAACCTTCCTTAAAATTAAGGTTCCTCAGCAAAATTAGGAAGCCATTGTTGTTATGCCTCCTAAGTAAGGATTCCTTAGTCACCTGGGAAGATGGATTCTTAGAAAATCGGGGAAAGGTAGAGATAACAAATTCTTTTTTAAAAAATCTAAAATTGATCTTTGGTCCCTATACCACCTTTCTTAAAATTAAGAACAACTTAACAAATGCATACTAATTTGATTATCAAATAGGTACAAGGCAGCTACACTCATTATTTGTATATCACTCAAGAACAAAAATGATACTGTTTTCATTTTCAAGGAATTTATAATATAATAAAGTGACTGAGATGACTTAGTTGAGTTTCTCTTTTTAAAATGGAGGTAAAAGGGGACCAGCCAGTGGAGCAGTGGTTAAGGCAGCTGGACCCCACCCACATGGCCCACTGTGTGGTTTGAGTCCTGGCCCCAGCAGCTTGAAAAACACACCAATATGTGTGCATGTGCGCCCAAAATACTAAAAGGAGGGAGCGCTGGAGTGAAGGTATGACCATTCCCCATGGGGAGTGGGGATGGATTCTCACTTTATCTCTCTTTCTATCTCTTTCTCTGTCTCTCTCTGGCAATCACACACACCCTACAGCAAAATAAAAATGTTTCAAGTGGAGGGACCAGCGGGTGCGTGGTTAAGGTGCGGGACACTCCCACATGGCCAACCGCGATTCAAGTCCTGGACCTGGTGGCTTGCTTTCTCACTTCCCATCTCTCTCTCTCTGAATCTCTCTGGTCAAATTAAAATAAATGGATGAAGAAATAAAACTAAATAAATAATTATTTTAAAAAAAGTTTTAAGTGGAGAAAAAAATACCTGTTTACCACATGTATATTTGAAAACTGGCAGACGCTTGCTTAGATTCTTTTTTAAATTGTTTTTATTTAACTTTATTTGTTCATTTGTTTGTTTGTTTATATTTGACCAGAGAGGGACAGAGTGAGAGAGAAAGAGAGAAAGCAAACCACCAGGTACAGAATTCGAACCACAGTTGGCCATGTGGGAGTTCAGCAGCCTTAACCACCATGCCGTCTGCCAGCTCCACTCAAATTCTTTTTTAGAAATAACTGTATTGACTGAAAGTGGATTTCGAAAAGGATAAAGGTGTGCTAAGCAGGTGATAGGTTTTAGTTCCATGGTGGACAGAATGAAAAAGTTTACAGATGTTGATAGGTGTTTGCTTGCCTTTTTAATGTAAGAGACAAAAAGCTCTATAAACAGATTTTTCCCAGGGCAAAGGGAGACAGACAACTATAGGGAAATAGAGAATTTATAAGGACATTTCATTAGTCACCTGGGGCTGCCATAATCTCAAACTAGATGGCTTAAACAACGCAAATTTATTTTCTCACAGTCTGGAGGCTGGTAGTCTAAGATCAAAGTGCCAGCATGGTTGGTTCCCAGTGTGGGCTCTCTTCCTGTCTTATAGCTGACCACCTTCTTGCTGCGTTCTCACATGGCAAGGAGAGAAGGCACACACTCTCTGGTGTCTCTTCTTGTAAGGGCACTAATCAGCATGAGGGCCCTACCCTCATGACCTCATCTAAATCTAATTATATCCCAAAGACTCATCTCTAAATACCATCACACTGGGGGTTAGACTCAACATATGAGTCTGGGGGGACATAGTCCAGTTCACAGCAGGTGTAAAAAATTGTTTTGCCAAATATAAGATGAAAGATACATTTATTTAGGGTTGTATTGCTTAGCCAGGAGTTGAATGATTTATACTTATCAAGTGTTCAGAACAGTACCAGGTCCCTAAAATGGACTACCTCAAGGTTTGATATTATTATTAGAATCCAGATCAGTATAGCTTTAAATACCAGAAATTCATAGGATTTTTCTCCTATAAATTGCCTATTTATATTGGTATCACTGTGAGCATTTATTTTAGTAACTATCATCATCTGAGTAATCACTGGAATGTCTGGGGAGGTGGCTAACTTTTCTCTTCCCACTCTATTTTCATTATCTTCAACAATATGATCATTTAATTCTATGAGAGATTTGGAAAAACTGTACTTAAGTAATGGCCTTTACAAGGTTTTAATACTTAACCGCTTTCACAAACACTACTTGACTCAATTTTGTAACAGCCTTGAGATAAAGGTTGGGTCTTATCTCTAATTTGAAATAACAAAACTTTGACTTAGGGATTAGGTATTCCAGTGCACTTTGCAATGAAAAGGTTTTCAGACTCCACTAGGTGATCTCACATCAAAGCCAATGTTCTTCTCCTTAATCCACAGGTGCTTAGCTAGTTAGTTCCTTCCTGAGTTGTCAGA